TCTGCAAGCGTTTCCTTCCTTCCTTCCCCTCCCCCTCCCCCCTCTTTTACTCGCTCCATTTTTCGCACTGCTCCTGAACCCCACAGAAACGCTTGCTACGCAGGCTAAAAAAACACCCTTAATTGCAGCTTTAGAGGCTTATAACTCAAAAACGGCATTGTGAAATTTTGGCAAGGTTTAAAAATAGGTTTGCAGTGCGCACATGTGTGGATTACAAGTTGTACCTGTGATTAGGATAAAACTGAATTATGAAAAAAAATGAAAGGCACTACTAAGATTTTCAACTCAAAAGGTCAGTGATCAATATTAGAAAAAAATATGAGGTATTTTAGAGAATAGGGTGCTATTACAGAGAATCACAAAATGTACTCGGGTGGGGCTTCCAATTATTTAGTTTTATTGTCTGCAATAAAACTGATACAGTCGTATCTATCAGGCTGTCTTCAATGAGTTAAATGCAATGGGAACGTGTCAGACTGGCTGCCCATTCGCTGTGGAGTGCCACAAGGGAGCCCTCTAGACCCACTTCTCTTCAATGTCTTTGTGAATGATGTTAATTACTCAGCTGGGTCTTCCTCCGTCTGTACGCTGATGACACGATGCAATATATCGTTCATGAGTGTCCTGCTATACTCGAATCCACCTTGAATCAAGACATAAAGAAATTAACCGACTGGTTCACAGCGAACTATCCGCACGTAAACGCCTCTAAGACTCGGGAAATGTCACTGGGTAGTTCTCTTTAACTATTCAATTTTTTAGTTGATGACATGTCCATTGAAATTGAGCCGAATCTTAAACTTTTAGGCGTTACATTGGACCAGGACTTGTCCTTTACGCCCCATGTTGCGATCATGCTGAAACAAGAAGATCTTTAAGATCTTATAACCGCGCTTTTAAAATTTAACTGTTTTCTTAGCTCTACAGACGCAATGCAGGGCAGATTCCAAAGCAGTCTCTGATGATTTATTGATTACTGTAGACACATCACTTGATCAACACAAACTGTATTATTGCACCACCAGTCGTAGCCGTTGT